CGGACCCTGGGCTGCCCGACCTTACCCAGTGCCCACCTGTATCTCCAGTGAACCAGCTGCACTTCATCCCCGTGGACCTGGGTGCCCCCATCGTGCAGTGTGCCGTGGCCGACCCCTATGTGGTCATCATGAGCGCTGAGGGTCACGTCACCATGTTTCTGCTCAAGACTGACTCGTATGGTGGCCGCCACCACCGCCTGGCGTTGCACAAGCCCCCGCTGCACCATGTAGGCCACCCTGTCCCCCAGGGTTGAGCCTGATCTGTGCCCCCGTACGCCCTCACCCCACAATGCTGAGCCCAGTCTGCCACCTGTCCCTCGCAGCAGTCCAAGGTGATCACACTGTGCCTGTACCGTGACGTCAGTGGCATGTTCACCACGGAGAGCCGCCTGGGCGGGGCCCGCGATGATGTTGGGGGCCGGAGCAACCTGGAGGCCGAGGGCCTGGGCGTGGAGACCAGGTGCGTGGGGCATGGCGCTGGGGCAGCAGGTCCCCGGGCAGGCCTGTGACCCGTCTGTGCCCACAGCCCCACAGTGGACGACGAGGAGGAGATGCTGTACGGGGACTCTGGCGCACTCTTCAGCCCGAGCAAGGAGGAGGCCCGCAGGAGCAGCCAGCCCCCAGCCGACCGCGACCCTGCACCCTTTCGGGCAGAGCCCACCCACTGGTGTCTGCTGGTGCGGGAAAACGGCACCATGGAGGTGGGTGAACCATGGCTGGGAGCTCTGGAGTGGGGGCTCTATGGGGTGAGGGCTCTGAGGGGTGAGGGCTCTGTGGGGTGGGGGTTCCGTGGGGTGAGGGCTCTGTGGGGTGAGGGCTCTGTGGGGTGAGGGCTCTGTGGGGTGTGGGCTCTGTGGGGTGGGGGCTCTGTGGGGTGAGGGCTCCGTGGGGTGAGGGCTCTGTGGGGTGAGGTCTCTGAGGGGTGAGGGCTCTGTGGGGTGAGGTCTCTGTGGGGTGTGGGCTCTGTGGGGTGGGGGTTCCGTGGGGTGGGGGCTCTGTGGGGTGGGGGTTCCGTGGGGTGAGGGCTCCGTGGGGTGAGGGCTCTGTGGGGTGAGGGCTCTATGGGGTGTGGGCTCTGTGGGGTGGGGGCTCTGAGGGGTGGGGGCTCTGTGGGGTGTGGGCTCTGAGGGGGTGGGGGCTCTGTGGGGTGTGGGCTCTGAGGGGTGAGGGCTCTGAGGGGTGTGGGCTCTGAGGGGGTGAGGGCTCTGTGGGGTGAGGGCTCTGTGGGGTGAGGGCTCTGTGGGGTGTGGGCTCTGAGGGGTGAGGGCTCTGTGGGGTGAGGGCTCTGAGGGGTGAGGGCTCTGTGGGGTGGGTATTCTGTGGGGTGTGGGCTCTATGGGGTGTGGGCTCTGAGGGGTGAGGGCTCTGTGGGGTGTGGGCTCTGTGGGGTGAGGGCTCTGTGGGGTGTGGGCTCTGTTGGGTGTGGGCTCTGTGGGGTGGGGGCTCTGTGGGGTGAGGGCTCTGTGGGGTGAGGGCTCTGAGGGGTGAGGGCTCTGTGGGGTGGGTATTCTGTGGGGTGTGGGCTCTATGGGGTGTGGGCTCTGAGGGGTGAGGGCTCTGTGGGGTGTGGGCTCTGTGGGGTGAGGGCTCTGTGGGGTGTGGGCTCTGTGGGGTGTGGGCTCTGTGGGGTGAGGGCTCTGTGGGGTGAGGGCTCTGTGGGGTGAGGGCTCTGAGGGGTGAGGGCTCTGTGGGGTGGGTATTCTGTGGGGTGTGGGCTCTATGGGGTGAGGGCTCTGAGGGGTGGGGGTTCTTGTACCTTACATATTACAGCCTCACTCTCCCTCATGGGCTGCTGCCTCCCCCAGATCTATCAGCTGCCTGACTGGCGACTGGTATTCCTGGTGAAGAACTTTCCTGTGGGGCAGCGGGTGCTGGTGGACAGCTCCTCAGGACAGCCTAGCACACAGGGTGAGGCCCGCAAGGAGGAGGCCACGCGCCAAGGAGAGCTGCCCCTTGTCAAGGAGGTGCTGCTTGTTGCACTGGGCAGCCGCCAGAGCAGGCCCTACCTGCTGGTGAGTGCTCCCTCCCCAGAGCAGGCCCTACCTGCTGCTGAGTGCTCCCTCCCCAGAGCAGGCCCTACCTGCTGCTGAGTGCTCCCTCCCCGTCCCTCCCTTAGGTGCACGTGGACCAGGAGCTGCTCATCTATGAGGCCTTCCCCCACGACTCACAACTGAGCCAGGGCAATCTCAAAGTCCGCTTCAAGAAGGTGCCAGGGACTGAGGGCCACTGGGTGCGGAGGGCTGGTCCAGGCATCTGTGGGACCCACGCTCACGGCGACTGTCCCCAGGTGCCCCACAACATCAACTTCCGGGAGAAGAAGGCCAAGCCGTCCAAGAAGAAGGCTGAGGGTGTCAGCCCCGAGGAGGGAGCCGGGGCCCGGGGCCGCGTGGCGCGCTTCCGCTACTTCGAAGACATTTACGGCTACTCGGGGGTAGGTGGGCATCTCCTGTGCAGTGGGGTGAGCCTGTCGGGCACAGCCCTCACCGCGCCTGCCCTGCAGGTGTTCATCTGCGGCCCCTCGCCACACTGGCTCCTGGTGACTGCCCGGGGGGCTCTGCGGCTGCACCCCATGGGCATCGACGGCCCCATTGACTCCTTTGCGCCCTTCCACAATGTCAACTGCCCCCGTGGGTTCCTTTACTTCAACAGACAGGTAGTGGGGCCTCCCAGTGAGGGTCCCAGGCGGTGGGTGCTGGGTGGAGGGGCTCTGTGGCCCTGAGCTGAGCACCCTGCCCCCAGGGCGAGCTGAGGATCAGCGTCCTGCCTGCCTATCTGTCCTACGACGCCCCCTGGCCCGTCAGGAAGATCCCCTTGCGCTGCACCGCCCACTACGTGGCTTACCACGTCGAGTCCAAGGTCTGTACCATGCCACGGCCTGGCCTCTCCCAGGAGCCTGCCGACCTGGTCTCTGAGGCGACTCCCTGGTCCCCAGGTGTATGCAGTGGCCACCAGCACCAACACGCCGTGCACCCGCATCCCACGCATGACGGGCGAGGAGAAGGAGTTTGAGACTATTGAGAGAGGTGTGTCCCACACAGGGCCAGCATCTGGTCCGCCTGTCGGCCAGAGCTGCCCCTTGACCGTACCCCGCTCCCGCAGATGACCGCTACGTGCACCCCCAGCAGGAGGCCTTCTCCATCCAGCTCATCTCCCCGGTCAGCTGGGAGGCCATTCCCAACGCCAGGTGAGCCTGGGTCTGGGGGAGCAGGGCGGGGAGCAGGGCAGGGAGCCCTCCGGGCAGCTGGCCTGGCTGCTGACCCCCGGCCTCTCCCAGGATTGAGCTGGAGGACTGGGAGCACGTGACGTGCATGAAGACCGTGTCGCTGCGCAGCGAGGAGACTGTGTCGGGCCTCAAGGGCTACGTGGCCGCCGGGACCTGCCTCATGCAGGGCGAGGAAGTCACGTGCCGAGGACGGGTAAGGTGCGGGCGTGGCCCCCGGCCCCCAGGAACCCTGTGCACAGCGCCCTGGACAGCGCCTCACTGTCCCCGCCCTGTCAGATCCTCATCATGGACGTGATCGAGGTGGTGCCTGAGCCAGGCCAGCCCCTGACCAAGAATAAGTTCAAGGTCCTTTATGAGAAGGAGCAGAAGGGGCCTGTGACTGCCCTGTGCCACTGCAATGGTCACCTGGTATCTGCCATTGGTCAGAAGGTGTGTGCCTGCCTTCCCTCCTCTGTGCCCACCTCGACGTCCCTCCTCTGTGCCCAGCCCATGCCACTAACCCTTCTGCCCCCCCCCCCAGATCTTCCTGTGGAGCCTTCGGGCCAGCGAGCTGACGGGCATGGCCTTCATCGACACACAGCTCTACATCCACCAGATGATCAGCGTCAAGAACTTCATCCTGGCGGCCGATGTCATGAAGAGCATCTCCCTGCTGCGCTACCAGGAGGACAGCAAGACGTTGAGCCTCGTGTCACGGGTGTGTGCCGCCTTGGGCCCCCAGCAGCCTCGGCCCCTCGGGCCCTGACCCCTCTGCTCCCTGCCCCACAGGATGCCAAGCCCCTAGAGGTGTACAGTGTCGACTTCATGGTGGACAACGCACAGCTGGGTTTCCTCGGTGAGTGCCAGGGCCTTGGGCGGAGCAGGGGCAGGTTGGGCCCCGCAGCTGACCCTGTGCCCACCCCGCAGTGTCAGACCGAGACCGCAACCTCATGGTGTACATGTACCTGCCAGAAGGTGAGTGGCTCCCGTGGCCCTGCCTGGGGGGAGCTGGGCAGGCAGTGACCGCGGTTTCTCTGGCCAGCCAAGGAGAGCTTTGGTGGCATGCGCCTCCTGCGCCGGGCGGATTTCCATGTGGGCGCCCACGTCAACACCTTCTGGAGGACACCGTGCCGGGGCGCCGAAGGGCCCAGCAAGAAGTCGGTCGTGTGGGAGAACAAGCACATCACATGGTTTGGTGAGTGCCTGGCGGTGGGGCCACGGGCGGGGGGCCACGGGTGGGGGACCAGTGCTCAGCCCGGCTCACATACCCTCCCCCGCAGCCACGCTGGATGGCGGCATCGGGCTGCTGCTGCCCATGCAGGAGAAGACCTACCGGCGGCTGCTGATGCTACAGAACGCGCTGACCACCATGCTGCCCCACCATGCTGGCCTTAACCCCCGCGCCTTCCGGTGAGCACCAGCCCCCCTCAGATGGTCCTGCTCCCTAATGGGCCGGGCCCTGACCCCACGCCGTGTGTGTCTAGCATGCTGCATGTGGACCGGCGCACCCTGCAGAACGCAGTGCGCAACGTGCTGGACGGAGAACTGCTAAACCGCTACCTGTACCTCAGCACCATGGAGCGCGGCGAGCTGGCCAAGAAGATCGGCACCACGCCCGATATTGTGAGTGCCCAGACCCGCCTGCCCCCGCCCCTGCCCAGGCCCAGCCCCCCTGACCACTTGGCCTTGCCCCTAGATCCTGGATGACCTGCTGGAGACGGACCGTGTCACTGCCCACTTCTAGCCTCCTGCACTGCCTCCCTCCCCTTTTGTACAAAAAAACACAAGGACAAATGTGTTGACTTGAGATGTGTGGTCATTGCTTGCCCAGGCTGTCCCACCCCAGTGCAGGGTCCAGGGCTGCAGGTCAGTGCAGTGGGCCCAGGCTGGGCAGTTGTGTGGGTGCCGGGCCTGGAGTTAGGTCTCCAAGTACGGGTAGAGGTCTTGGACGGGGGGCATGAGGCCCAGGTGCACCAGGGCACGGATCACGAGGGTGGTGAGCCGCATGGCCAGCGTCTCCAGCCTGTGGGCCAGGGAGAGGTCAGGGGCTGGTGGGCACAGGCCTGTCCAGCACCCAGCAGCCCTCCCCGTTCCCCACTGACCTACCTCAGGGCCACCTCGAACTTGAGCACTGCCCACAAGACCTTGATGTTGCGCAGGAGGCTGCCATGGAGGCCCTGGGAGGTGTTGCTGGCCAGGCGGCTCCAGGCCTGGACGGCGCTGTCAGACACGGGTGTGAGGCCAGCTGCCCGTCCCGTGCCGCCCACCCAGGGGTGCCTGCCAGTACCTCTTGGCCATGAGGAAGTAGCGGTCCACGGGGCTGCCCAGGGCAGTGTGGATGGCACGCACGGTGTTGATGTTGCGTAGCACAAGCAGCATGGGCCGCGGCAGTGCCCGCAGCACGGCCATGATGCGCTCAAAGTGCTCCTGCGCCATGGCCTGCATGTAGGCGGCCTCCTGGCGGCTGAGCAGGTGGGAGGCCCACAGCTGCCCCAGCCGCACTGGCCGCTGCATGAGTACTTCCGCGAATAGCAGGTAATCTGGGGGGGACAGAGGCAGCTGGGCTGGGGCTCCTGGAGACACAGCCTGCCCTTCGGGAGACCCCCTGCTGCCCTCACCTTGCACCCCCAGGGCGGCTGCGTGCGCCTTCATGCCTGCTTCATCTCTCAGAATGATGGCTCGCCACAGCTGGCACAGGGCAGAGCGGTCCCTGCAGGGGCCTGGCCATGAACCCAGAGCCCAGGACAGGGGCCCAGGACCAGCCTGCCCACCCCTACCGGGCTTACTTCTCATCCAGGAACTGGTAGAGACCGTGGTCCAGCAGCACCAATTCCGCCGTCCCGTCCGTGCCCTTCCGCACCAGCACTAGGGGGACAGAAGTCAGCCACACCCGCCCAGGCCCACGCCCGCCCTGGGGACTAGGGGCTCCTACCGTTTCCAGGGTGGGGGTCCGAGTGGATGAAGCCACTGTAAAAGACCTGCTCGGCGAAGGCCCGGGTTAGCTTCTCTGCTATCTGGGATGGGCAGGTACTTGAGGGCCTGCAGCTGCCCCAGCCCCCGCCTGGCACTCAGGTCTCCCACCGCCCGCCCCCGCCCGGCACTCACATCGCCCACCGCCAGCCCCCGCCTGGCACTCACATCGCCCACCGCCAGCCCCTGGCGTTCAATGGCTTCCAGGTCGTTCACCTTGCAGCCCTCACAGAAGTCGGCCGTCAGCACACGCTGGGGGAGCAGTAGATGCTGAGTGGGGCTCCCAGGGACCCCAGCCCATGTGGGGGCAGGCCCAACCCACCTTGCTGGACTTGTCCCAGTGCACGCGGGGGACCACGATGTAGCGGAAGTGCTGCAGCTCGCGGGCACAGCGCTCTGCGTTGCGACCCTCATTCTCAAAGTCCAACTCCTGGGCCAGGGTTCCCTTCAGGTCCTTGGGGGCCCCACACAGGCCGTCAGGGGTCAGGGTAGAGGGCCAGCCGCCCTCCCCCGCCACGTGGGAAGGGTCTGGCTTGGCACCTGCAACACCCAGCTGAAGCCGAAGCTGGGGTGCATGAGCTCCACAAGCCGCAGCAGCAGCTCCAGTGTGTGCACGTCCCCCTCAAACCGGTCCTGCAGGTCAATGTACTGCACCTGTGGATGCGGGTGGCTCAGGGCCTGGCCAAACGGCCTCCCGCACCTTGACAGCCCCAGCTCACAGCCCCACGCACCTTGACAGCCACAGCTGTGCCATCATGCAGCTTGGCGCGGTGCACCTGGGCCAGGCTGGCAGCTGCCATGGGTTGGTGGTCGAACTCTTGGAAGAGCTCGCTGGGCAGGGCCTGGAAATCCTCCAGAAACAGCTCCTCCACCTGCTCATCACGTGCTCCGGTCAGCCGGGCCCTGCTGGCCGCTGGCCCCGCCCCCACAGGGACCCACCTCCCGGAAGCCGCGCTTCAGGGCCCTGTCCTCCAGCACGCGCAGGGTCCGGATGTACTCGGGCGGTAGCAGGTGGTTGAAGGCGCACAACCCCTGGCCCAGCTTCACGTAGAGGCCCCCATTGTGGATGGCACCCTCCACTAGCGCGTCCGCCGCCCGCTGGTGACACGCTGACATCGCTTCCACATAGCTGGGGCTGTTCTGACCACAGGGAGAGGATGGGGTTCCCCCAGCACTGCCGGCCCCACTGAGCTCCCCACAAGCCCAGGCCCCGGGAACACACCTCGTCCACCCCTCGCAGGATGACGTGTGTGCACCACCAGTAGTCCAGGGAGATGTGCAAGCCGATCCTCAGGGACCTGTGGGCAGAGGCTCTTGGGCACCCCGGAAGCTGGGGAGGCTGCACACTGTGGCCTTGGCACCCATGGCTGCCAGCCAGCAGGCTGGCACTCTGGCCTGGTTCTCAGCAGTCACACCCCTCCTCCACATGCCATGAGAACAGCCAGTGCACAGGCAGGAGGGAGATATAGCTGCTGGAGATACCCCAGGGGCCGTGTGGCCACGGCGTTCCAGGGGAGGTGCTGCAGCTGTCTGTGGGCTGCTGGGTTCTGCTCCCGAGGCCACATGCAGGACACACAGCACGTGCCCTCCTAGCTGACACAGGGCATACCACACTGGGCACATGGGAGGATGGCTGAGCCCTGGGCCGGGCATGGGAAGACCAGGGAGGGCGTCAGAGTACGACACCCCTCCTCAGGACAACCCCCTGTAAGGGTACCCCCTCCTCGGGACACCCCCTCAGAACACCCTCCTGACCTACTCCCATGAGGCCACAAGCTGCCCACCTGCCAAAGCGCCCAATGCCATCCAGCACGAGCCGCATGCGCCGCCTCTCGCGTGGCTCGGCGATGAGGTAGTAGCTGCCGAGCAGCAGGGGCACCACCGTGGCAGTGGCCATCAGCGCCTTCCTCCACAGAGACACAGGTGGCCTCCGGGCCCTGCGGGGACATCCAGGGCTGCTGGAGGCCAGTGGGCACAGAAGGTGGCCCTGGTTGTGCGGGGAGCAGCCTGAGGCTCCCTGCTGCAGGCTGTCCCAGGGGTCCACGCTGGCACTGTTTGCTTCCAGTCCCTCCTGGACTCCCCTTACCTTGCCGGCAGGCTCCGGAGGTTCCTCTGGGGGAGGCCAGGTGCTGGCAAGGGCTTACCCCTGTCCCGCGGCACGGTGGCACGGCAATGGCAGAGTCGTAGCTGCAAGAGAGCCAGGGCTTTGAGTGGGCAGCCAGGCCTGTCGGACACGGAGGCCAGGGCGGCTCAGCTACAGGCTCACACACAGGCCCCCGCGCTGGCTCCCCACTCGGGCACAGCCTGGAGGCAGCAGCCTCCTGGCACGCACTTGGGAGGCAGGGATCCCGCAGATGCCACCTGCCTCTGCTGTCTTGCACACCCAGCAAGTGAGGAAAGCTCAACATTTCTAGCCCGGGCCAAGGCTAAGGCTGACCCCCGCCACCAGCATCACGATTCCACATGGCCACTACTTCCTGTCCCAGCTGCTCCACTTCCCATCCAGCTCCCTGCTAATGGCCTGGGAGAGCAGCAGAGGCCACCACACGTGCCCGGGCCCTGGGGAGCTTCTGACTACCAAGAGCTCAGCTCCAGCTACTGCAGCCATCTGGGAGATCTCTCTCTGAAACTGCCTTTCAAGTAAATAAATCTATTTTTTTTTAAAGATTTATTTATTTTTATTGCAAAATCAGATATACAGAGAGGAGGAGAGACAGAGAGGAAGACCCTCCATCTGATGGTTCACTCCTCAAGTGACCACAACGGCCGGTGCTGTGCCGATCAAAAGCCAGGAGCGAGCTTCTTCCAGGTCTCCCACGTGGGTGCAGGTTCCAAGGCTTTGGGCCGTCCTCGACTGCTTTCCCAGGGTTCTGGGAAGTGGGGCCGCCAGGATTAGAACCAGCACCCATATGGGATCCTGGCGCTTGCAAGGTGAGGACCTTAGCCACTATGCCATCGCACCAGGCCCAGTAAGTAAGTCTTTTTTAAAAGACAAGTTTCTCAGCCACAACCACTGACTGTAAGTTCTTCAGCAAACCAGAGAGGGCACCCATGGGTGCTGCGACCAAGCCAGGGACAGGTGTGCGCTCTGCGACCCAAGCACGTGCCTTGCATGCCCCCTGAGGTGTCTACAGGCCATGACCTTCTGTCCCAGAGACTGCAAGGCCATACGCAGCGTCAGGTCCCAAGGGGAAGTGGGGGCAGGTGCAGGGAGGGGCAGCCACCCGGCCGGGCCGTTCAGGGTCAAAGCCGGCAACAGTGGCCATGGCCAGCCAGGTGTCCCCAGAGCTCCAGCCTGGGCTTCCCACTCAGCCCTGTGCACACACACATGCCCACCAAGCCCCACACACAGGGACCAGATGCTGGAGCAGACTTTGTGGGAGAGGGGACAGCTGGCAGCACCAAAGACAGGCTCTCCTGCAGGAGGCAGTGCAGCAGGGCCAGCTTCCAAAGCGTGCTGGGAGACAGTGGACTCGGGACAAGCCTTCCAGGGCGCCTGCCGCCTCCCGTGGCTGCGTCCCTCTCCAGGCCCAGGGTGTCCTGGCAGCACAGCCCTGCATGTGGCCAGCAGCGTCCTCCTGAGCTACTTCGGCTGCTTTTCTTTTAAAGATTTTTTTTTTTCTTTTAATTGGAGAGGCAGATATGCAGAGAGGAAGATCTTCTGTCCATTGATTCACTCCCAAGTGACTGAACAGCTGGAGCTGAGCCATCTGAAGCCTGGAGCCAGGAGCCTCCTCTGGATCTCCCAGGCAGGTGCAGGGTCCCAAGGCTTTGGGCTGTCCTCCACTGCTTTCCCAGGCCACAGGCAGGGAGCTGGATGGGAAGTGGAGCAGCTGACAGGAACCCAACCTGCAGGGACGCTGGACAGCAGGCAGAGCTGGGTGTAGACAAGGCCACGTCTAACATGGAGGCCAGGGTCCCCAGTGGGAACTGCCACCATTCCCCTGCTGCCTCAGTGTCCCACGAGAACCTGCCCGTCCAGGGGGCCATTCAAGCACTGGCCTGTGGTTTCCCACCAAGATGCGGAATGCAGACACCAGGGCACCTGCAGCCTCCAACGGAACCCAGCACCCAGCCCGGCCCAAGGACCTGGGCTCCTGCTGCCCACAGCTGACCCGCACTCCTGCGCACCTGCTGGCCCGGCCCTGATTGTCGCAGCCTCATGCAGAGGGTCCCTGATCACTCTACATCCTTGCGAGAGCGAGCAGGGGCTGGAGCGCAGCAGGGCGACCTCCATCCCCTGTGGGCTGCTCTGCTCCAGTCCAGCTCCCTGCTAATGCTCCTGGGGAAACAGCAGAGGAAGTGCCGGGGGCCTGTGGTCTCCCCGAAGCGCCAGGCTCCGGCCTGGCACAGTCCTGGCCGTTGCAGCCACTTGGGGAGTGACCAGCAGCTGGGTCTCCTTCTCCCTCCCTGTCTGTAACTCTGAATTTCAAGTAAAGAAGTCTTAGAAGGTCACGGCAGGAGTGGTTGCAACTGACCCCGGGGTCATGGACTCGGAGGGAGCATGCGGGTGTCGGAGAAGCTGGGCCAGGTCACAGGCACCCCAACTGAAGACCTCATTTGACCCCAAACGGGGGACACGGTCTGGGGCAGCAGATCCAGGGGCTGTCCTGACGCCATGGGCTCAGCAGGGAACCATGGACGGCAGGGAAGGCCCGCAGGCCACCCCAGGCCCGTCCCCAGTCGTCAGGTGCACAGGGCCCTCTACCAACCACTGTGTGTGAGCCCACTCGGGGTGGGCACTTCTCAGGAGCAGACAACAGGTGAACAATTACAGGACTGCCCACGCCCTCACGCCACGGGACTGCCCCACGCCCTCACGCCACGGGACTGCCCACGCACCCTCACACCACGGGACTGCCCACGCGCCCTCACTCCACGGGACTGACCCACGCGCCCTCACTCCACGGGACTGACCCACGCGCCCTCACACCACAGGACTGCCCAAACGCCCTCACTCCACGGGACTGACCCACGCACCCTCACTCCACGGGACTGCCCACGCACCCTCACTCCACGGGACTGACCCACGCGCCCTCACTCCACGGAACTGACCCACGCCCTCACTCCACGGGACTGCCCACGCACCCTCACTCCACGGGACTGACCCACACGCCCTCACTCCACGGAACTGACCCATGCGCTCACTCCACGGGACTGACCCACGCGCCCTCACTCCACGGGACTGCCCACGCGCCCTCACTCCACGGGACTGACCACGCCCTCACACCACGGGACTGCCCCACGCCCTCACTCCACGGGACTGACCCACGCGCTCATACCACGGGACTGCCCACGCGCCCTCACTCCACGGGACTGATCCACGCGCCCTCACTCCACGGACTGCCCCACGCGCCCTCACTCCACGGGACTGACCCACACCCTCACACCACGGGACTGCCCCACGCGCCCTCACTCCACGGGACTGACCCACACCCTCACTCCACGGGACTGATCCACGCGCCCTCACTCCACGGACTGCCCCACGCGCCCTCACTCCACGGGACTGACCCACGCCCTCACTCAACAGGACTGCCCCACGAGCCTTCACATCATGGAGCTGCCCCCACACAAATGCCTTCACGCCACTGGGCTACCCCACCCACCATCTTCTCTGGGACATCACTGCCGTGCCCTCAGCCAGCGCCCTTCCAGCCACTATGGCCCTGGTGTTGTGCGTGGAACCCCAGCAGTGTGTGCCACATGTTGTCCAGCAAATTCTACAGGTCACAAACAACGTTGAGTGTGTCCACGCGAGGCGGGAGCCCGGCTCGGTCCCGCAAGGCTTGGGCATCGCAGCACGCACTACTCCGGGAGGAGCCAGCTCTGCTGCGGTCACCGGCTCACGACCACTGCAGCAGCCTCACCCGGGGCGCCTCCCACCCCTGCACGGCTGCCCGTCGCAGGCCTCCCGCTCCGCCCAGACGCCCAGGCCGGCCCTGCACCGGGCAGGGGCGCCGCTGCAGCACGGCCGGGCCCAGCCCCCGCCCCCGGCCCGGCCCGGTCCAGCGCAGCCCCGGCGGGAAGGAGCGCGGCCCCGGCCCGGCCCGGCACAGCGCAGCCCCGGCGGGAAGGAGCGCGGCCCCGGCCCGGCCCGGCCCAGCGCAGCCCCGGCGGGATGGAGCGCGGCCCCGGCCCGGCACAGCGCAGCCCCGGCCGCTCCCGGGCCTCACCGCTCGCCACATGTCCGCGCCGCACGCTGCGCCAGGACGCCGGCAGAGCCCAGTGCGCACGCGCGCACGCGCCGCGCGCCCCGCCCCGCGGAGCCGCAGCGCCCCCTGGCGGCCCGGGGTGGCCCCGCACGGCGCCCGGCCGCGCTCCCTGAAGCCGCGGGTTCGAGTCCCACACTCACCTGGGGCAGGCCGCCCACTTCCGGACCACGCAGGCTGCAGGACTTGTCCAGGTTCTTGCTCAAAGCTTCGCGGGCCTGTGTTGGGGGACTGTCCACACCCACAGTGAAGTGCCCAGGCAGACTCCGATGTCCTCTGGGATTCATCCCTGGCCCACCCGGTCACTTGTCAGCCCTGTTCCCCAGGCCTTTGCTCACACCACCCCAGGCGCTCCTGCAAGATCCTACCTGCAGTGGCCACTGCCAGAGACCAGCTGCAGCCGAGTTCAGGACTCACGAGGGTGCGTGGATGAGGCACAAAGAGGAACAAAACGGACCAAAATTCCAGGATCATAGCGGACAATGCGAGAAAGCTGTCCCCTTTATTCATACAGAAGCAGTCACAAACTCACAGACTCTTTACGTCACGGTCAAGTAGGTGTTTCTAAGGATAATTCTGCCGTTTGTTTCACCTTAAAGCAGGATGTTATCCATCCTACCCTGTGGTCAGGAAGTTCTCAATAGATGGTGCATACCAATCAGTAACACATTCCTACCACAATCCTCATTCTACAACTGAATCTTGAATCAGTTAAGGGAGGAAGTGCATCACAGGGGGAGGGACCTAAGTAAAGATCAAACAGGGAAAGCACTCTTCCGATAGAATCCCACCAATCCAGGGACTCAGCCCTTGATTAGCACATGGCCGATGGGGGCAGCCGGGACAGCAAGGACAGTAAAAGGCCCCTTTGTGACATTATCAGCAGCATCAACTTCCAAGCTCACTGGTAGTAAACATTAACTCCGCAGTGGCAGACAATGCCTGAACAGATTACAGCAATCTCAGTGGGGTTGTCCGGTGTCCACGCAGAGGGCTGGAGCTGCCTTCAGGTGGATGCAGAGACACCCGGGCCCTGCCGTGCAGCGGGACATTCCCTGCGGCCCTGCCTGCAATGGAACAGTTCTCTTCACACCTTGTGTCCTCCACACCCACCGCACAGACCCAGCATCCCTCCCCCAGGCTGGATCTTCTCCGCTCCTGCAGCTGCCTGGGAGCTGACCTGCTGGACCCTGGCCCTGCCGGGCACTGCTCAGCCCAGGGTAACAGGTTCACCCTGGAAGTCAGCAAGGGCCCCCAGGGAGGAAATGTGGCTCCCAGGAGACCTGGCAGGGTGGAGCTGGTGACACAGTTGCAGTGGGTCGTGGCCGGGAACAGCAGGTTAAGCTGTGCCATCATTCCCAGAGTCCCAAAGACTACTTCCCATCGTGGTGCTCAGGCCCTGCACCCACACAGGAGACACAGATGACAGCTCAGTCCTGGTCAGTGGGGACATTTGGAATGAACCAACAGATGGAAGATCTCTCTCTACTTCTGCCTTTCCAATAAATACAAAAACTAGAATCTTTTTCAATTGAAAAAAGAAGACATTGGGCCTGGCGAGGTAGCCTAGTGGCTAAACTCCTTGCCTTGAACCCACTGGGATCCTATATGGACACCAGTGTGTGTCCCAGGCCACTCCACTTCCCATCCAGCTCCCTGCTTGTGGCCTGAGAAAGCAGTGGGGGACGGCCCAGAAGCCTTGGGATCCTGCACCCGTGTGGGAGACCCAGAAGAGCTCCAGGCTCCCAGCTTCGGATCGGCACAGCACTGGCCATTGCAGTCATTTGGGGAATGAATCATCGGATGGAAATGTTAGAGTCCGGGCCGGAACTCCCCCCGGACATTAGGTGCGAGCTAGTCAGCCCCCAGAAAACAACAGAGTCTCTCTGGTAATGCGAAAAGCAAACAGAGTTTATTGTGCCAGCATGCTGGGGTCAGATCGTGCTTGGGGCACACAGGCCAGCCAAGCAGATCAGACCCCGACTTAACATAAGGCTGGAGATTATATACCCCGTCTTGGCTGTAACATATATCAAAGTCAACTCAAAAGTAACAAATTTAGGTGCAAGCAATCTGTTCCATTCTCACACTCATTATTTACGTTCCCACACTTATTGTTTACATTCCCACACTTATTATTTACGGCTCATCCCATCCTGACACCCTTGTCTTTATGGCTCCTCCAGTCTTTTATGGCTCCTCCCGTCCCTGGGGCCGGGGGAACTGTGCCCATGCCTTTCTGTACCTGGGTTAGATGGTAGATAAAGAAACAAGGGAGACAGATTTATCACTAAAGTAGAGCTTTCCCACAGTTCAGGCGCCTTCTGACCTAGCGAAGTAGTGGCTTCTCACCCAAAAGGGCCTAATATCACCTAACACTAATATTCTTAACATTTTAACATAGTAACATTATACCAATACTCTAACAGAAGATCTTCCTCTCAGTCTCTCCTCCTCTCTGTATATCCTCTTTTCAATAAATAAATAAACAAATCTAAAAAAAAGCATCTGTTTTAAAAAAGAAAAAAGGCAGTGTCAGCACGTGTGCTCCTTAAGGTCATCCAGGAACAGCGGGTGCCAGCCTGGCTTGTTCTGGCCGACACTGGGCCAGAGCCACCGTCATGGCGGCTGGGATTGAGGTAAGGCTGGGCTGCGGGCATCATCTCCAGCAAGGCCCTGTGGGGCTAGACGGTGTGGCTGGAGCAGCGGAACGGGGAGGGGTGTGCCCAGAGTGGGCAGGCAGAGCAGGACAGGGTGACCAGTGGCCCTCACTGAGCGGAACGTCAGGCTCCATGATTGTTAGTTATTTAAAAGAGTGTAAGAGTTCTAGTTCTAGGTTATAGGATATTAAGATACTTTACGCGCAGCTAATTCCCGCAATCTGGTTCTTTACCGTGAGCTGAAAACACCAGACGCAATGACATATCTTAGGAAGTTTATTCCAGCGAGGCAGGAACAGGGGAAGGGGAACAGGAAAGAGGGAGGCGGGGAGCAAGGAAGAAGAGAGAGAGAGAGAGAGAGAGAGAGAGAGAGAGAGAAAGAGAGAGAACTGAGTGGGGCAGGTACAGGGAAGGGGAGGGAAGGGGGGTAAGAAGGAGAGAGAGAGAGGAAGAGCAGGGGAGAGGAACCGAGAAGAGAGAGCAAGAGAGAACAAGAGAGAAAGAGAGAAAGAAGGAGCGAACCGCACCTGGGGGCCTTTTTTGTCTGCCAGGTGTGGGGGGCGGGGATTGGGAGGGATTGAGGTCAAGGCCCCAGGGGATTGGTGCCTGCAGGTGAATGCCTGGGGATGATTGGTGAGTGGGCGGGGTTGGGGAAGGGGCTGGGAGATTGGGGGTGGGATTCTCAGGTGGAATGCCAGGTTACATCTGATTGGTGGATGGCTGGACTGGCGCGAATTCTGTGAGCTGTGAGGAAGAAGGAATGGCGCAGGGTCCAGGGTGGGATATTGGAATAAGTCCTTACAATGATGACCATGCTGCGGTCACCTCGAGCAGACGTTGCATCCGCGAATGCGCTCCACAGACCACCCGGACCTTGTCTCAGGGCACAGAAGCTCATACAAAGCTTGGGGCCACCACCTTGCACCCCCGTGGGTGCCACACACCCTGAATGCTGCCCACCCCCCATGTAAGTGGCCTGACGGCTCTATCGGACACGGCCCCAGTGACTCTGCACCTTGGGCAGGGCAGACCCACCTGCTGGGGGAGCCGCCAGGTGACCTGTGCTATGTGCCCCCGACAGCTCGGAACCCCCTAGGCGGATGCTCACCCACCCTGGGCCTGGGCAGCATCCCGGCAAGCTGACCCAGCCTGCTGCTCCCACTGGGCTGTCCTGCCTCCCTCTGAGCCCTGGCCGCCTGCGCTCTGTCCACTGGCCTGACATTCGCCTCTGTCCACATGTCCCCAGTGTCTGCATGCATGAGAAGGCCAGGGGCTGTGGCCTGCCCTCAACCCATGAGGCAGCGCCATGCCCCTTGGTCAGTGTGGGACCCACTGCCTCTGGTCACCAGCCCTGCCCTCTTCCTGCCAGACTTGCTTCCTCCACCCAGCGTCCTGGATCGCAATGCAGTCTTGTCCACACCCACTGGCACCCACAGGATCACTGGCCCCTGGCCTAGACGTCACAGCAGGACCTGCTAAGAGCCCGACTTGAGGCCTTGCATCCTCCCAGGCTCAGCCTGTGCTCTGCTGTTTACAATTGAGTTCTCTGTGACCTTGAACTCACAGGCCAGGCCAGCCATTCTGCACGTAGCAAGGCCCACGGGGGGGGGGGGGGGGCAGCGTTTGTGGCCAGAGGCCAGGGAGTGGACGCAGCCCTGCCGCCTGCCCAGAGCCTGGGGCTCTAGGCTGGGTAGGGAGGAGCCGTTTCCTGGGGCCCTGTGACCCAGCTCCCACCACCTGCAGGGCCTCCAGGCCTACGCCCCACACTCTGGATTCCCTTTGGTCTCCGGATCTGCCACAAACGGGGACCCACATGCTGATGCGAGGGAGATAGGCCACCCCAGACTTGGGACTCATGGGAAAGCAGAAATTCTTTTTTAAAAGATGGAATTTGTTTCTTGTTTGAAAGGCAGAGTTACAAAGAGAGGCTTTCCATCTGCTGTTTCAATCCCATAACAGCCAAGACTGAGTGAGTCCAGAGCCAGAGCCAGGAGCCTCTTCCAGGTCTCCCACATGGGTGCAGTGCCAGGCAGTGCCTCGTCACCATGCCAAGTACTCAGTGAGTGTCTCAGGCCGACACGTCTGTAGCCACTCCGGCAGCAGAGGACACAGGAACAGGGTGTCCAAGACTGCTTAACTCCTCAAAGACAGCTCAAACAGCCCTGTCACATAAAGGACAAAAGACTCACATATTGATGGGAGAAGGTGTGGGGGACAGGCGTGGGGGACACGGGCATGGGGCCGGGGTGTGGGAGATGGGCATGGGGCCGGGCTGTGGGGGACGGGCGTGGGGCTGGGGTGTAGGGGACACGGGCGTGGGGCCGGGCTGTGGGG